CCCCTCCCTGGGGAAGGCAGGGAGGAGGGGAAGAGTGGTGTGTTCTTCTCACGTTTGAGGAGGATCGCCGATAGAGACCTCGCCTGTATCCTGCTGGGAGTCGCAGACGGGGAGGTCAACAAGGAGCTCAAGCCGGGTGCCTGGAGAGTGGCCAATTCCTCTGACAAGGCTTGAAGATTCCAACAGGCTACAACTTCTAGCCATGATGATGACTATGTTCTACCTCCACTTTTGGAGACAGTATGCATGCCAGTCGCTGGGAATCGCAAGTGAAAAGAGCTCTGGTCCTGCTTTTAGGCTTCCCGTGAGGACACCTTACTTTTTTGTGTGGCAACCAGAACTGCACACAGCAACCCATAGATTTGTTTGGCTGCATTGTGACAAGCAGGGAAAAGATGGTGGTGCATATCTTCCTCTGCTGCAAGCTTTGCAGAGGCACCTGCCTGGCTTCCATCAGAAAGGGAACTCTGGAGTCACCCTCAGTCGGGTCCAGCAGCCCCACATTTCCATTCTGAAAGCCTTCAAGCAAGCACCCTTCCTCATTCTCAGAGAAAAGAGAATATCCATCCCTTGTCGCTTCTTCTCTGAGCAGTGCTTGCATCAAACCTGGGACTTGCAGCATCGTTTTGTGTGAAAACGATGCCCCCTTGTGGCTGTTGAGGCCAATGGTGCCGTGTGAGAGCTCATGGGGCACACAAATACTTGAAAACACCTTACTGCTTTCAAGTTAGACATGCAAGGAGCTGCCTCATGTTGAGTCAGATTACTCAGTCCCATCAAGCTCAGGAATGCCTGCACTGACTGGCAGCGGATACCTTGAGATGCTGGAGACTGAACCTGGGACCTTCCGTATACAAGACATGTTGTGATGGCCTGGGATTCCGATTCAGAGAGTGAACCGGAGGAATCCCAGCCGGCACAGGAGTCCCCGCCTCCAGGGCCGGCTGAACTGGGGCAAGGCCTTGATTCTGAGGAGCCTGCACCTGTGCCGGATCCTCAGGAGCAGGCACCAGGTGAATCCATTCTGGCTCCAGAGGTGGTTGAGGACTCAGTGCCTACAGGTGAGTCTCCCCCTGGGCCCAGTAACCCTTCGGCCTCTCCTGAACTGCAGAGGCTTAGGGCAGAGAGGCGAAGGGAACTGGTTTCTCCCAGGAGGAGTGCTCGCCTTAAGGCCAGGAGAGGCGGGGCTCCTGGGGGCCGGGACCACCCCTGGCCTTAGAGAAGATAAAGGCCAGTCAGCCCGGTCCCAGGTTGCGGGAGCAACGTCGTTGTTGAGTACCTGCTCTTACCTGGACCCAGACCTGATCTTCCAGCGTTCCTGTTCCCCGCCCGGCCTCCTGCTTCTGATCTTCGAGTGTTCCTGTCCCCGCCCGGCTTCCTGCTTCGGACCTCGCCTCGCACCTTGTGAACTATTTCCAGGCTAGTGACTCAGGACTGAACTTTGACTACGATAACAGTAACCTTCCCCCGGGACCAGCACACATGTGCTCAGTGTGGTGTAGTGGTTAAGAGGGGTGGACTCGTAATCTGGTGAACCAGGTTTGCGTCCCCACTCCTCCACATGCAGCTGCTGGGTGACCTTGGACCAGTCACACTTCTCTGTAGTCTCTCAGCCCCACTCACCTCACAGAGTGTTTGTTGTGGGGGAGGAAGGGAAAGGAGAATGTTAGCCACTTTGAGACTCCTTTGGGTAGTGATAGAGCGGGATATCAAATCCAAACTCTTCTTCTCGTTGAACTTGACCTCCACCTAAAAGAATTAAAAATGGGGCCAACCCTACCATTAGGCAGAGGAAGGCAGTTGCCTCAGGCAGCAGATGCAGGGACTTTAAGGTCTCCTGGAGAGGTTGCGGTCATGGTCCCACCAAGGGAAATAGCTCATTTGGCCAGGTCTTCTTTGTGGTGCCCCCTCAAAACTCCCAGAGAGTGGTGTTAGGCCCCCCACACTAGCATTATCTTGCTGCCAGCTAAAACACACACTTCTTTGTCCAAGCTGAGGATGGGGAACCTCAGGGCTGGAAGCTGGGTGCATCCTACAACAGCTCTCCCCAGACCACACACACCCTCCTAACAACACGCCCTCTTCCCAGGGTACCCCCCTGACCAACCATGATTTGCCTCCTCTTTGAGTGTTTTTGCCTGGCTAGACTGTGGTCCTGAATTCTGATCATGCCTGGATGGACAGCAGAGAGGGGTGTGTGTGTGTGTGTGTGTGTGTGTGTGTGTGTAAAACTAGCCTACTATATAAAGACAAAAGTCATATTCTTTGCCAGTTTTTGCTTCTGGCCCCATCCAGCTCTGGCATGTTGTTCCCTCCCCCCCCCCATGGTTTTCCAGAAGAGACTGTGGCCCTCAGGCTGAATATAGCTCTCCACCCCCACCGTTCTACCCAGACACTGAGGTCCAGTGCCGAGGGCCTTCTGGCAGTTCCCTCACTGCAAGAAGCCAAGTTACAGGGAACCAGGCAGAGGGCCTTCTTGGTAGTGGCACCCGCCCTGTGGAACGCCCTCCCACTAGATGTCAAAAAGAACAACAACTACCAGACTTTTAGAAGACATCTGAAGGCAGCCCTGCTTAGGGAAGCTTTTAATGTTTGATGCATTACTGTATTTTAATATTTTGTTGGAAGCTGCCCAGAGTGGCTGGGGAAACCTAGCCAGATGGGTGGGGTATAAATAATATATCATCATCATCATCATCATCATCATCCCTGGTCCAAGACTTCAGGGAAGGGTGATCAGCTTTGATGTTTTATTATCTCTGCTTCCTGAGAAGCTGTTGCTCTACCATAGCTATTACATAAAGGTTTTTAATGTTTAATTTTGCTATTAGATTGGATTGCATGAATGCCTCCCTGCCTTTAGCAAGGCTGCTTTCCCTGTGCTTTCCCTGTAAATCTGGCTTCTTGTAGTTTCTTATTAACCAGGTTGTGACACTTTATTATCCCAACAAGCAGCTGTTAGCTCTGTATGTAAGCAGAAACCCTGCTGATCAGTTCAGAAGAGATTCTGGCTGCTGGGGTCTTCTCCAAAGCAATTGCTTTGTTTTAATAAACAGAGTCTTGGACAGATCTTTGCCCTAATCACAGCGTGAAGGCTCGTTTTTCTTCCACGCTGGGCTCCTTTGAAGGAAGGGCTAGACAAAAAAAATATAGCAAACCAATAAATAAAATTGAAACCCTCCAGTGGATTTCACAGCCATATATTTGTACATACAGAAGGTGCCCTCCTTTGCCCCACAACATTTAATCTTACAGATTGAAGAATGGTTCCATTTTCCAGGGACAATTAGACAAGGCTGAAGAAGAAAGCAAATCAAAACCTTAAGAAAAAAGGAAATAAAATGAAACCATTTCACTCATACCAAATCACCTGTACAGAGTGCCTAAATGAAAAATTCTATCAAAGACACTATGCTGGTTATTATTTAGGATGGTAAGAAGGTATCGGGACATGCGGGGCACTGTGGGTTAAACCACAAAGCCTAGGACTTGCCAATAAGAAGGTCAGCGGTTTGAATCCCCACGACGGAGTGAGCTCCTGTTACTCGGTCCCTGCTCCTGCCAACCTAGCAGTTCAAAAGCACATCAAAGTGCAAGTAGATAAATAGGTACCGCTCCGGCGGGAAGGTAAACGGCGTTTCCATGCGGTGCTCTGGTTCGCCAGAAACGGCTTAGTCATGCTGGCCACATGACCCGGAAGCTGTATGCCGGCTCCCTTGGCCAATAAAGCGAGATGAACGCCGCAACCCAAAGTCGGTCACGACTGGACCTAATGGTCAGGGGTCCCTTTACCTTTAAGAAGGTATTCCATCCTGTAGCTGTTACATGCAGCAGTTTTTCTTTTCTGCTGTGGTTTGCTTTCTACCAAAAGCAACGTTATTCATCTCGCCATCCACTGTGGTGAAGTTACATCACTTGCACAGTTTATGTAATTAATTATATAAGTTAGGTAAATTCCATTGTCGGTATGTTGTCATTTTAATGCCTTCTGGTCCTTTGCCTCGGGAAGCAAAATGTCTTGGGCTAGTTCTACCAGTGACCTACTCTATTCTGACTGGTGATATCTCTCTAAGACCTCACCCAACACTTCTTCCCAAGATCCTTTGGCTGGAGATAGGCAGAGATTGCACTTGAGGTGTTCTGTATGCAAGCTACAACCTTCTGCCCAGCGAGTTCTCTGCAGAAGGTCCTTTCCTGTAGACTCTACCATGGACAGCAGCCTTCCTCAACCGGGGACTCAGCTATACAGCTGCAAATAGGTTTTAAGTGCGTTTTAAATGCATTATACAAATGTAACACTAGATGGCAATGGTGAGCTAATGGCAAATTCAATAAGTACTTTAAAACGTGTGGTTTTTAAAAAAACATTTTCACAGCACTTTTTACATATGTCTATATTCAGTCCTGGTTTCCTCCAGATGTTTTGGACTTTACAGTGGTACCTCGGGTTACATACGCTTCAGGTTACAGACTCCACTAACCCAGAAATAGTACCTCAGGTTAAGAACTTTGCTTCAGGATGAGAACAAAAATCGTGCGGTGGTGGCATGGCAGCAGCGGGGGGCCCCATTAGCTAAAGTGGTGCTTCAGGTTAAGAACAGTTTCAGGTTAAGAACGGACCTCTGGAACGAATTAAGTATGTAACCAGAGGTACCACTGTAACTCCCACCAGCCATCACAGAACTAAAGTTTCCAGAGTGGTTTGACAATCAATCCCTCTTCCCAGGGAACTTTGGGAATTGTAGTTTCTCGGCACATTTGACATGCTGCAGTTCCCAGGGTGTTCTGGGGTGAAAGTCATGGCTGTTTAAAGTCGTATGATACTGCTTTAAATGTGCAGTGCGCATGGGGCCTTGATTTGGGGCTCTCTCCCTCCCTCTTATTCCCCCCCCCCCTATTATTTTGGTGGGGGAGAGGAGGACACAGACCTGTTTCAGCACAGGAAAAAGGTTGGTAGCCAGAATTACTTGTGAATATGGCTTAAGAAAACTACAGATAAATTTAACCTTCAAATACACCACGTTTGGTTTACATTTATTGCAATTTCATTGCATGACATGAATTTCTTCAAAGTAGTGGACACATTCAGTGGAGGTTGACAAAGGATTACAAAACAGCGCTTTCATGACAATTGATCCTTCCCCCACCCCCACCCCCCCAAAAAAGAATTTTATAATGCAGGTTCCTGGATGGTGACAACATCTATTGAATACATGTCTTCTGTACATATTATGCTATAGCCCCAGATCCCACAGCTATCAGGAGGAAGTGTCAACACAGATATGAAGGCGTCCATATAGATGCAGAGTCAGAAGAGGAAAACAAGAGAAATGCAGGTCTGCATTTGGAATCAGCCCTGTCCTTTTTTTCTCTAAGGTTGGAAAAGACAATATGGCTTTTTCTTTTCTTTTTTAACGCCAGGAAGGAAGCAACCAGGGCTTTAAAGCTCATTGAGTAGAACGAAGAAGAAAACGTGGTCCATGCAATCTGAGAATGTGCATAAATCAGCTGATTTTCAACTCTGTCTATGCCCGGAAAAGAGTTATTATGTAATGAGAGGCTAGTTTGCACAGCAGCTCTCTGGGGATGGCTCATTTTTCCTGATTATTATTATTATTTATTTTTAAAACACTATCATCTCCAACGAAGGAAATCCTTCGTAGCAAAGCCTCCATCCATTTTAGGTGAATTAGTATAGAAGCAAAGCCTTTGTTGGGGAGAGTCTTTGGCTCCCTGTTGGGAACGGACATTTCATAAAAGCATCAAGGTGCATCGTATCTTCCATCATTTCTTCCTCAGAGTCCTCATGGCCTCATCAACAACAGCTCAAAGCAGTGCTCAGCATCCTTTGGTCTACCATCCAGCCATTCTTGATGCCGGATGCCAGTGATGTTGCTCTCTGCTTTTGCCACAAAACATGATCCGTTCCATTCTGCAGCCAAGCTTGGATCTCTTGAGTATAAGACAGTTTGAGACCAACAAGTCCTGAAACCTGAAGGTTTTTTTTTATTCTTTCAACCTTGGCTGAAAGGGCAGATCCAGCCATGCCATATGACAACCTTCTGTCGAGTGCAAATCTCCAAAAAACAATTTAAATGGCTACTCCCCAAACTGTGCTTTAGAGTGTTCCAGTAAGATGGCAGTCTACATATAAGTAACTCAGACATTTATCATTTGTTAATATGGCTATAATACTGTTAAATTCCTGCAGATACCGTAATCTATAGTCGATCAAATATCCCCCTCCCCCCGGAAGCGCTCTATTTACACTGCAGGATATGTACATATTTGGTTTCAGGAGTCATAAGATGCTCAAGGAACGGAACATGAATGAAACTAGATCAAAACCAACAACAATTTATACTCTTTTAATATAGTGATGCCCCCAAACTCAAAGCATTTGAAATACTGACTGATGGCTTAAACTTGTCTTAGCCTTCCTCTCTCACAAGATCCAGTTAAAATTATTGTGGACAGTTGGAATATCTCTGTGGTTGTTGTTTTTTTGTTTTGTTTTGTTTTTGAAAACTACTTGATGAGAATGAAATGGAAAGTGTGTGTGCAGAATCTCCAACAGATTCCCTTGCATACCTATGTGAGAGAGGTGGTGATGGTTGCTTTAGACAACTTGGAGGTCCAATGTATGAAAGGATCAGCAGCTTTCCTTGAGGAAACACAACAAGCTATGTTGGGCGTCTCAGTTTTGGTTCTCGATATATGAGGCCGCCCTCTGCAAAATGTAAGTCAATGGCTGTTGACTCCCCAAAAGGGTAGCCTTGCCCCTGAATAAACCATCTGGTTTGTGATCTCTCTTGAGGACCAGCTACCATTGGTGAATGGGCTTCAGTTTTAAAACTATATTCATCCCCCCTTTTCTTTTTGCTAATTGCCCGGAAAGCTATAGAAATGTAGACATCAAGCCATTCAGCTGAGCTCTGAGAGGGTCACTTGTGTGAGGAATGGCTCACTTCCCAGTGCCACCCGTCACAATGCACACATCTAGACAAACATGCACGATCACGAGGCAGCTTCTTCTTCTGTTACTGGTTTAGTGCCTGAGATGTTCACACACATTCAGAGGGGAAATGGGGCTTCACCCCCTAACAAGTGATAGCTTTGAAGCAATGAGCAAAGCTCAGGGTGTGCGCGTGCGGGTGCAGCCCTAGACAGGCGGGCTCCATCACCACTTCACAACAGTCCTAGAACTAAGGGGTTAACGTTATCTCAGCGGGGTGCCTCTTCCTCCCCCTCCCTCCTCAGATCTGAGGTATCGGCAGAGAAATATTGACAGGCTTTCCCGCGATTTTCTTCTAAATGCATCTCGTCCCTGTCTGTTGACGTTTCCTTTGGGCGGCTCACATCAGGACTTGGTCGCGAGTCTCTGGCAGCCTCAGGGCAAGGAGGCCTCCTGCCACCAGAGCAGAGGATGCCAGGAGGATGGGGACCACTTTGGTTATCCCAACAAAGGAGGCAAAGATAGCATTCCCGAAGATGGCCCCAATTTTGCAGAGCCCGTTGAGGATGCCAAAGGCTGTGGCTCTGTGGAGAAGGGAGAGAAAGCAAAGGGAGTTTAAAATGGGAACGGTCCAAGAGGCAGTGGTCCAGTGGTCCATTGTGAAGGGAAGGACCTCTCCATATCAAAGCAACACAGTCACCTAAGAAGGTTAGAAGAGTCCTGGTGGATTGGACCAAAGGTCCATCTAGCCCAGCATTCCATTCTCATGGTGGTCAACCATATGCCCCAATAGGAAGCCTGTAGGCAGGACCTGAGCGCAACTCTCCCCACTGGTGACTCTCAGCCAACAGACATCCATTAGTGGAGGGAGAACATAGCCATTGTGGCTAGTAGCCATTGATAGCCTTCTCCTCCATGAATTGGCCTCTTTTATAGTCAGCCAAGTCTGCTGTAGGGATGGGCAGATGTGTCAATTTTGGCTTCTGATCAGGCTCTTATTTTCCCAATCTTAAGTTCAGTTCACCACATTGGTGCATCCTTGGTTCAAATATATATACAGTGGTACCTTGGGTTACAGACGCTTCAGGTTACAGACTCCACTAACCTAGAAATAGTACCTTGGGTTAAGAACTTTGCTTCAGGACAGAAATTGTGCAATGGTGGTGCAACAGCAGTGGGAGGCCCCATTAGCTAAAGTGGTGCTTCAGGTTAAGAAGAGTTTCAGGTTAAGAATGGACCTCCAGAACGAATTAAGTTCTTAACCCGAGGTACCACTGTATTTGCTTTCAAGTGGTTTTTGTGATTTTTTTTTTGCCTGGCTTTATATTGATATGGTTTGCAGACCAGCACAGTGAATTCTTTTTGCTGAGAAAGGGCTTTTAAAAAACAATTTGGCATGCTGGAGATTAGCAAACAGAGCGCCAGATCATAACGTCATCTCCTGTGCTGTGAAATAAGCCGTAGTGCTTCACCCCAAACCTACTTCCGTTCCCCCTGCCACTGCCAACTGCTCCAGATTTACATTGGTTTGTTCTCAAATTGTGAAGGACCATGCTAAAAAGCTTCAGCCCCTGGAAATCTCCCTGTGTGTGTCTCCACCCTTCTCCCTCACCCCAAGGGAGGTTGCTGGGAAGAGTCACCTTTTATGTGTGGGGTACAGCTCCACAGTGATCACATCCAGCGCATTCCAGGCAGCAATGCTGGTACCACAAAATAGGCACTGCCAGCCAATCATGGCCGACTCACTGTTGCCAAAAAAGAGGAAGAAGCAGCACACGGCAGAGATCAGCATGGAACCCCCTGCAAGAAAGAACAAAAGAGGAGGCAGGGAGAGATAAGACAAGGTTAATTATGTATGCCACTACTGCGGCCCATGTTTTGTTAGCCCCAAAATGGAAAACGCGTGAGGTTCCAAAGAAAAATGGCAACTTAATCTGATGGAATGTGCACAGCTTGCAGACCTAACACATCAAATAAGAGAACAAGAAGAACATATGTTTAAAGAAGATTGGGAAATGTTTATTGAATATATGGTGGGGGGCGATTGTGTACACTTGAAAACGTTGGCAGCATTAAGATAAATTCAACAGTGTAAATAAGTTTAGATGGATGTACTAATGGAATACTGAATGGTTTAAAAAGGTAAAGGGACCCCTGACCATTAGGTCCAGTCATGACCAACTCTGGGGTTGCGGCGCTCATCTCGCTTTATAGGCCGGCGTTTGTCCGCAGACAGCTTCCGGGTCATGCGGCCAGCATGACTAAGCCGCTTCTGGCGAACCAGAGCAGCGCACGGAAACGCCATTTACCTTCCTACCGGAGCGGTACCTATTTATCTACTTGCACTTTGACATGCTTTCGAACTGCTAGGTGGTCAGGAGCTGGGACCGAACAATGGGAGCTCACCCCATCGTTTAGACCACAGCACCACCCTCGTCCCACTGAATGGTTTAGTTTATATAAAACGTGCAGGGATTTATGTTATGCAAAAGGAACCATGGAAAGAGAAGAAGGGGAGTTTTTGATACTTTAAGGTTGTTTAAATGAATGTTCTAAATTGTAAAACAGAAAATTTAATAAAAAATTATAAAAAAGAGAAATAAGTCGAGCTCAAATGTGAAGGAATAACACTTGATATAGGGGGTGGCCCTGGCTATCAGCTTCCTCCTCCTCAGTCTCAGTGTTGACCCTTGCAGCACTCAGCAGGGAGGAGGAGGGGTGAGCTTGTTGGCTCTGCCTGCCATTGGCTCTGGCGCCACCTACTGTTGGGCTCCCTGCCTTCTGCCCTACCAGTCCCAATGGGCACCAGCCCCCACCACCCTTGGCAAACCTTGCAATGGGGTGGAAAGCTCAAGTTCCTGTGCTGACACAGATTCTAAAGTGCCCTGAGGGCAAGGCACAATAAGTGAAAGCCTCCTTCTCAATGGAGGAAGAGTTTTGAGAAATTGGAAAGAAGATTTTTGGCATGAGGCCAACTAAACCACATTTGGGGGGGCTTTCTGATCCCTCCCACATTGACATATGTCACCCCTCCCCACTCACCAATCATCTTGATCCGACCTATTTTGTCCATCAGCAGGGCTGAGATAATGTTGCCTGGCAAGACCGAGAGGCTGCCTAAGAAGCCGACGAGGTAAACCAGGAAGTCGTTGTCCCTCTCAAAATCCATGTGGCAGCCCTTCTTCTGCTCCAAGAAGGTGGCATTCACAAACTTGCATTCGACAAATTTATGCTTGTACAGGTCTAAGGGGGGCGGGGGGAGAGAGAAAGATGGATGGATGGAACTCATAATTGCATTCAAACATGGGGATTGCTGTGTTACTTTTCCTGGTTATAATGATAGCAGCTCTGTCTTGGTTCCTTTCACTTTTTTAAAAATTAATTTTTATTGAATTTTACAAGAAAAGAAAAAGAAAGAGAAAGAGAAACAAAGAACAATACATAACACTGTAAACACATTTATATACATGTTTTCCAAAATGCAAACGAAAGAGAGAGAGAGAGAAGACAAAAGGGGAAAAAAATACTTTTCATAACTGTCAGGGCCGCCTCAGGTCCCAGATCACAAGAGACCAACGCCAAGTCTACTTTATTTACAAAAGTCTTTATTGAAGTACATTGTTTGTTCCACAGCCGAGGCGCGCAGCCCCACGTCTGTTAGGCTTAGACCGCTGAAGTCCCCTCTGAATCAGTCCCGCCTCTACACCAGTTTAAGAGGCTTGTGCTGGTCCACCTCTTCCTGTCTTTCCTTTTCCGCAGGGTCTTTCTGCCCCCCTGGGTTCCTTCCCTCCTGCTCTCCCCTGACGCTGAGTCCCCAGACGCCTGTTCCCCCCTCCTCCGTGCTTTGGGACCAGGCTCCTCCTCCGGGCTCTCCGCATTTCCGCGCGCCTCCACATTTGAACTTGGCGCGCGTTCGCTACCCCTGACCTTCCTCTTGACAGTTACACTACTCTCTGTACTACTCTCCGCCCCTTCCGGCAGGACGTCTTGCCCCGATCTCCTTCCCCTCTCTGCTTCCTGCTCTGCTTCGTCTGTCACACTGGGAACTCCACCCTCTTCACTCCGTTCCGGCGGGGAAGCCGGCCCCGATCTCCAACTCCCACTCGGGGTTTCCCTGCTGCTCCCCTGCTCCTGATGAGTCCCCCCTGTGGCTCCCCTTGGCCTGACCAGGGGCGCCCCCTTTTGGGAATCCTCCGATTCACTTGAAAGACTCATGGAAACCCTCAAGTCATTGTCATCCTCCTCCTCCTCGTTCCTGGATTCTTCCCCCTCGCTCTCAGTCTCCTCCCTCATCTGTGCCTCTCTCCCTGAACCCCTGACATCCATCCCCCCCTCGAAGCCCCCCCTTCCCCCCTCCCGCCCGTCGGGCGCAGGTTTTGGGAGCCGCGTCTCTGCGGGGGTAGATGCTGGATACAGTTCGTCTACTTCGATTTCCTCTGCTTCCAGCTCAGTGTATGTGTGCTTGAACTCAGGTTCGTCTCCCAAAGTGTTCTCGGTCTCCTCTCCCATTGTTACTTCGTCCGGTGCTGTTGGCCAAGGCCCCTCCCTCCACCTCCTGCGCCAGTCCTCCTCCCTCATCTGTGCCTCTCTCCCTGAACCCCTGACAATAACCAATAATATTACCAAATTCATACTCCAAACATTACAATATATAAATCCTAGTTAAAATATTATAAAAGACTTCCACCGCATTCACCGCACGTCTCTTAGTTATCTTGCTCGCCTTTATAACAGTTCCTTTTACAATGCATTATGGAAGCGTGACTTTTTGATGGATAGACTGCCACGTCACAGCAAATTTCATTTGCACCAGTGGGCATGGTGCGTCCCAATGAACGTCATTGGACAACGTTGCTATTCCCCTATGCTTTCCATATAAGCAGGTTTCTGTTCTCCCATAATTCACCCATAAAAAAGGCAGGAAAGTGTGCCAGAATAAAGTACACAATTTTGCCACATGGTGTGATGCACACTGAGATGGCTGTGTCCCCTATTAGACTTTGGAGCAGATGTCTAGTACACCATTCAGAACAATGCACAGCAGGGCCCCCAAACAACATGTGAGATTTTTTTTGAAGTAAGTAAAGGGACTTGCATTATCATTTACAGAGGGGGCCCCTTAAGATATAACTCACGCCCATCTAACTTCGTGAGACCAAAGGAAGTATCTGAAATCTGCAGAATGGAAAGCCTAGTCACGCTTACTAACTTGTTCAGAAAATATTCCCCAAAGGCGGCAGCAGGACCGGATACCAAAAATCTGTTACCATTCCTGATAAACAGGGAACAATGGCGCTTAAGTTATTGTGTATCGGAAAAACAGACCACATCAAAATGATTATGATTTCTTCCCAGTCTTAACTCTTCACTTCATTCCGCTTTTCTATAAATGAAAACACAGACAGAAGCCAGCAGATGCACTTTGCCAACACAGAAACACACACTCTCCCGCGTTACCTGTGTTAAAGAAGACAGTTTTTATAATGGTGCAGTTCTTGAAAAAGGTCTCGCTCGATGTCACATCTTCAAAGTAGCATTCCTCAAACACAGAGTCCTCAAAAGTCACATCTCGGAACTTCATTTTGATGAACCTGCAACATAGAAAATAACTCACCATCGTCTTCATTTGAAGCAAGCTCCTATCCCTGAACTTTAAAAAAATAAATAAATAAACACACACAGTTTAAGATACCAGAAGCCAAGACAGTGAGTTTGATGCAATCTAATTCAGCTTTGTTTCATATGCAAACACTTTGAACTTCACTCCAAAACCATTTACAACCCATGGCTCATTAGGGGGAGGATACTTTCAGTGAACAAAAATGAATACGTTGAAAGAAAGACTCCATCTCTATACCTCTGTGTGATTTCCCTCTTATTGATTATTGATTTGAGTTACAACAGATGGCAGGATAGCTGAAACTCAAAGTCTGCCAAGAATGTAAGGCCCCAACAAACTCCTCAATTGCCTTGCTGACAATTTCATTTCCCAGAAGGTGTAAGAAGCAACAAGGGGATCGACTATCTTGCACCTGATTCTTACCAACAGGGAAGAACTTGTCAATGAGGTGGAAGTTTACTTGCTTATACTATGAAAAATAAGAATACAAAACATTATTTAAAAAAAGATGGACAACTGATGCAACCAAATATAGCCAAGATAGAGAATGTGATATTCTTTTGTTACTGCAGTTAGTGAACATGGACAGAGCCTTCTTATGTGGACAGTTGCAATTTTGAAGAAGAAGAAGAAGAAGAAGAAGAAGAAGAAGAAGTATGTGTGAAATTTTTTTTGTCCAAGCAATTCCTCCATAATAGAATACCTTTTTCTATGCTCTCTTCACTAAATATGCACATTTTTGCATGCACTTTTCATTAATATATGAATTTTGTCTGCATTCTTTGGTTGGCGAACTACATTGCAAAGTTCAGAGTAGTGCAACTTTCAAAAGAGTGCTGTGTTTTGGTTTGCATACGGGTTTGGGAATTTCCACTCTGATTGATTCTCATAAAAAATGAGAATCAAGCAAATTTCTACATCCCTGGTTTCAGCTGCAATATATGCCTTAATATGATATTTCAGAAAAAAGTAATGTGGGAAGTGGCCCTCGGTGTGCCTTTCCTTACATGACCACTGGATGTCAGTATGTCCAAAGGTGATTTTAAAAATATTATGGCTCCTTGAAGCCCAAAGCAGAAAAGTTTATCAGCATGTGTAATTTAATTCATTTAGATCATAACAGATATCCAAGTTGATTTCCCAGTATAGATGTTGAGATGTTGAATTAGCAAAAACAGTATTTTCATCAGTTGCTGCTGTTATTATGTTTATGGGTCACTCTTTATCTCATACAAGGACAAAAGCTTAAGGGCCATCTTCTCTCCTATGGAACCCTTCCAGGGGCCACAGATCATCGACTGGCAGAGCCAAAGGCAAACATGGATGGCCAAGAAGCAAAAGGAGGCACAGCAATGGATATGACTCTTTCAGCAAGCGCCACTAAGCCACTTAGGCAAATGAAGCATTATCCCCCCAACCTCTGCCTACTCCCACTTGCCAGCCTTCTTGTGTACAACCAGCCCGGAGTAGCACTGACTGTCAGCTTCCTCCTGCGAAGACTTGGTGTTACCCCTGTAGAACTCAGCAGGGTGGAGGGTGGAGGGGGAAACTAGACTTAGTGGGCTCTGCACACCATTTGCTCTGGCTCCATCTATTGCTGGGCTCACTGCCTTCCACCCTACCTGTCCCAATCAGCACCAGCCACCATTACTTCGCAGCTACCCTTCTGGTCACTCCTCTCACCTGTCCCCTGGAGATCTCTCTCTCTCTCTCTCTCTCTCTCTCTCTCTCTCTCTCTCTCTCTCTCTCTTTTACAAACACACACAGAGAGAGAGAGAGAGAGAGAGGTAGACAGAAAGTATGGATATACAAACCACTTTCCCAAAGGATCTGGGTCTTGAAAAGCACATAGAGCTGAAAGAGGAAGTGGGAAAGTATGTCCTCCTTCTCACTTCCTCCTTCAGCTCTCTATATTTTTCCAGGGAGAAAAAGTAGCCACACACTCTGCCTCACGACTAAAGGGGCAATAAGAGGCTCAGAGTTTCTGTGGGCACCAGAGAAAAACCTCAAGGGTGCTCAAGGGAGCTCAAGGGCACCACACTGGTAATCTCTCACTGATCTCCATCATGAAGCGACTTCCATCATCTCTGGTTGTTCCAAGGTGCTGCCACAGCCAGGATGGGTGGGATAGTAGCTCCCACGGGACGCTGCACATATAAGCAAACATTGGCATCTGTTTTGGTGAGGTGGGGTGTGATGGCTCACTTGTCATTGAAATATGTCCCATTCCGGTGGATTTGATTTTCCAAAGTGAAGTTGAAGGTGATATCCTTCACTGATTCCCCATTAAAGACTTTCTCGCGGGACTTATACGCTTCTTCTTGGTAGTACCGTATCATGTCAGGGAACCAGACGATAAGGCCATAGTAACTGCAAGAGGAAGAAGAGAACTGTGACACAGAGAAGTGACAACTGTTACCCATGCTTTGATAACCTCAAGGCTAGATTGCTTCTGAAGCTCCAGCTGGTGCAGATTGTGGTGGCCAGATTGCTGATGGAGGCATCTGGCCAAGAATATGTAACATCATTGTTAAAACATCTGCACTGACTGCCCATCTACTACTGATCCAGGTTGAAGGTCTTTGTATTAATACCGATAACTTAGGTCCAGGGTACCACCTGAACCCTTATCTCCCAGCTGAGGTCATCTGCAGAAGCATCATTGGTCATCCCCCAAGTTGACAAGTCCCGTTTAAGAACAAGAAGAAACTGAGCCTCTTGTGTCATTAGCCCAGTTTTTGGAGATTCAGCAGGTGCCTTCTGTTTCAACTTTTAAATGCCTGCTGATTTTTTTTTCTATTCTAGAGCTGGGTTTCTGCCTGAACCCCTGGAGAACCACTGCCAGTCTGTGTAGACAGTACTGGACAAGACAGACCAAGGGTCTGACATGATATAAGGCAGATTTCTATGTTCCTAGGTCTTTGGGTCTAAGCCTAGGTCTTCGCCGAAGAACTGATGCTTTTGAATTATGGTGCTGGAGGAGACTCTTGAGAGTCCCATGGACTGCAAGAAGATCAAACCTATCTATTCTTAAGGATATCAGCCCTGAGTGCTCACTGGAAGGACAGATCCTGAAGCTGAGGCTCCAGTACTTTGGCTACCTCATGAGAAGAGAAGACTCCCTGGAAAAGGTCCTGATGTTGGGAAAGATTGAGGGCACAAGGAGAAGGGGATGACAGAGGACGAGATGGTTGGACAGTGTTCTTTAAGCTACCAGCATGAGTTTGACCAAACTGCGGGAGGCAGTGGAAGACAGGAGTGCCTGGCGTGCTCTGGTCCATGGGGTCACGAAGAGTCGGACACAACTAAATGACTAAACAACAACAACAAGGTCTTTGGGGAAAATGCTGCAGTTCAGTAGTGTGGAATATGCCTTGAATACAGAAGGTCCCAGGTTCAGTCCAGGTTCATCTTTTGGTAGGGCTCTCCTGAAACCCAGGAGAGGCACTGCCAATCAATACTCAGTATATGGCAGCTTCCTAAGTTCCTAACCTTCCCAAAAGATAATGATGGGAAAATAAACTATCTCTGAAATGTTCAGGACAGGTTCCTGTTGCTCTTATTTAGCCTTGCAAGAGTTACAAGGCAGCTTCCTGTATTTCTGATTTGAATGTTTGTTGCTCTTAGGAAACAGGCAAAGTCTATCAAAAGGAGCAAATATTTGTTTTGCTAAGATTGGTGAAATGTCTCAGGCAGACTTTACCCACAGGAAACTTGGCAGTTGCCTTATACCAAGTCAAACCATTGGTACTTCAAGCTCAGTATTGCCTAGACTGGCTGCTAGTGGTTTTCTAGGGTTTCAGACAGGAGTCTTTTTCGGCCTTACTAGGAGATGCTGGAGATGGAACCTGGGAGCCTCTGCTTGTGGGATAAGCTGCAGCTTAGTGGTAGAACACCTGGTTGGTTTGCAGACGGCCCAAGTTCAATCGTATCCATCTCCAGGGAGGGTTGGAAAAGAGTCATCTCTAAAAATTGGAAGAACCACTGCCAGTCAGTGTAGACAATATTGAGCTAGAGCAGCCTTTCTTAACCTGTGGGTCCCCAGATGTTGTTGAACCACAACTCCCATCACTCCTAGCTAGCAAGGCCAGAGCTCAGGGATGATGGGAGTTGTAGTGCAACAACATCTGGGGACCCACAGCTTGAGAACCACTGAGCTAGAGGGACCCACGGTATGATTCACTATAAGGTAGCTTCCTTTGTATCAATAGTAGAACCTTATTTAAGGTTTTTAGCACATGCTGGATAGCCAGCTATGAGGGATGCTGTACTAAGAGATTTCTTGCAGGGTTGGACTGGATGATCTTCCAACTCTCTGGTTAATAACAGGTTTGAGAATTCCAAGGCACATACCTTAAGGCCATTGAGAACCACACAATTGCCAGGAAAAGCGTGTTCATTCTGTACTGGGCTGTCAGACAGTATATTACATTGTCCATAACCTAAAAGAAAAGGATAGTCCAAAGAATCAGTTACAGAAAAAGTCCTAAGAAAACTAACTTCTAATGTAGCTTATATCCCTTCCAAAAATGAAAAACAAATACCCATTTGTTTGTGGAAATGGTGAATAATTTATTATGAGTATTTTCATTCCGTGTTTTTACATTGTAGCTAGCTGGCTAGATTCAGTGAAGCAGGATTTATTTATCTCAAATCCTACATTTGCTTTAAAACCCACTATGACATAAATTAACTGAATCTTGGTTGATTAATCTATGGGGCAATTTAAATAATTTAAAATTGAGATTGCTGTCAGAGGCAATTAAGTTTTGGTGTATCACTGGAATAGGGAACCAAAAAATAAAATATGAAAGGTACTTTGCCTTAAATATGGTATTAAAGATCTTCCAACAAATATAGTCCCATCCCCCCACTTAACAGCAAGTGACAGTGTTATTTATTAATTCCAATGTACACTTACACGGCCAAGCTAGCGGTTCGAAAGCACGTCAAAGTGCAAGTAGATAAATATGTACCGCTCCGGCGGGAAGGTAAACGCCGTTTCCGTGCGCTGCTCTGGTTTGCCAGAAGTGGCTTAGTCATGCTGGCCACATGACCCGGAAGCTGTACGCTGGCTCCCTCGGCCAATAAAGTGAGATGAGCGCTGCAACCCCAGAGTCGGCCATGACTGGACCTAATGGTCAGGGGTCCCTTTACACTTACACTTATTTCAGTATGTCAGGAAGACACCTTTACCAAAGCTGATAATATAACATAATCTATATGCAATTAATCGCTTGGTAAAAACGCAGGTGGTTGATCCACTTAAAAATCTCTGTTGAGTTGAGAGCCTTACATGAAACCAAATATTTTTTTATTAAGAGACAGGGTGGTCAAAGTACTGCACCCAGATGTAATCGGGAAAGGTTGCAACCCCGTGACCTGTTCATTGTGTGGGCAGGTAGCACAATAACAGATCTAGGCAATCAATCATTACTGGTTGTTGTGTGCATTCAGGTGCCACCACCACCCCCTCCCATACCTGTTTGAGGGTGGTTGTCACTCTAACAAAAGAACGCTGGTACCACGTCCCTGTAGAACACTGTATTTCAATGAATTCGTCTATCTGCTTTGGAGTTTTTATGTTGGCTACCTGAATAAACAAGAAAAAACAAGCCAAAATATTCAGCCCTTGACTTCACAGCAACCACACTAAGCTTTGTTCTTATAAGCAATTGCTCAGAAACAGCACAACAGAGGGTTGAGTCAACCGCCACCTGAATAAACACCTCTGCATTCCAATCCTGAGTACGTTTACTTGGAAGCAAGTCCCACAGTGTACAAGGAGGCTTATTCCCAAATAATTGTACTTGGGGAAGGGGCATAGCTCAGGGGTGGAATGACTGCTTTGCATGCAGAAGGTTCAAGGTTCAGTTTCTGGCATCTCTAAGTAGGCAAGGAAGGCCTTCTCTCTGAAACCCTGGAGAGGCACTGTCATTCAGTTCAGATTATACTGAGCTAGATGAACCAATGTTCTGACTTAGGATGAAACATCTCCAGGTGTTTTGAACCCAGCAGTGACTGGGTTTAGGGATGAGGGAGAAATCTGATTCAGTTTACATTTAAAGGCAGATCTCCCTAATTCTCAGTTTCTGAAAGAAACACACCAACTGAAACAGCCATCTTTTGAAAATTTGCACACCTCTGAATTTTGCAATGCAGTCTGCTAGTCAAGTAACATGTATGAAAATGCACATCTTGGTGAAAGCAACATACACAAATGCATTATATTGGGGAAATTGTTTTCAGAAATGTGTATATTGGGCAAAAATGCATGGGGGGGATTGTATGCATTAGGAGAAATTTGCACTAAAATGCTGGTGAATTTTCACATGGTCTTTTAAAAAAATATGTGCAAGGATGGAAATGTGGCAAAATGTGGAACATAGGACTGGAGAAATGAGAAGCCAAAATTTGGCTTCTTGCCTAGATGGCAACCATGTTTGCCAATTGCGAAATAAAGTTAAATTAGAATCTGCATACTGAATCTTTGGGAGAAGAAAGAGGTGGATTGTGGGCTTTATGCAATGTATATAAAAAACCCAATTAGGTTTTGAATCTTTGACCAAAGTCTCCTATTGAGGGGAAGTGCATTCCTAGGAAGAAAGCATGCTTACCGTAAACACCCTCTCAGGCTCGCCTTTGGCCCTCATGTTGGTGTCGTGGACTTGCTTGAGGATCATCCAGGCTTCGTCATGCTTGCCTATCTAGAAAGGCCAAAGCAAAGGATGTCAGAAAGATCACTTCCTTCAGAAAATGCTTTTAACACCCCAGGCTCTTTCTCTCCAGTTTTGCTATGGCTCCATCGGAAGTCACATGGGTTTAACCACGGTGGGATGATGTCCTAGCCAAGGGCAGAAGTTCTGGATTCTGCCGGAGAATACCTGTACAATGTGAGTGGGGACCCTCTGGCTCAGGGGTTGAATGTGGCCCCACAGACCTCTCTATGTGGCCCCTGAAACTCTCCCTAAGCCACACACCCTCTTCCCACACCCTGAGCATTTTTGCCTAGCTGGAACCGGTCCTTGAAATCCAATAATGCCTCTTGCTTGCCTGAGTAGAGAGGGGTTTGTGAGTGTGTCCAGAAACCATCTGACTGTAGAAAGGTAAAAATAACATTCACTTGTACCTCTGGCCCTGCCCACCAGTGTCATGTGGCCCTCAGAAGGTTAACCAGAATGGAAAGTTGCCCTTGGGCTGAAGAGGAGCTCCCCAATGCTGCTGTTCAACATTGAGCATGTTGTTTTATAACATAATGGACAGCAGAGTTGTTGTCTTCTGGATGGTTTCACACCTGGACCTTTAGCATCAACACAAAATGCATAGCAGGCAAAACTTGGCAGGGAGATAAAGTGATGATGCGGAAAGTTTTCCCTGATTTATGCCAGATAAAGTGAGAAGGGGTCCCCATTCTCATCTTAGCCACAGAATGAAGCATCCTGAGAAACTCTATGCAAGTTTTCTAGGCCTTTTTCTTTTAATTGAAAAAAGGCAATTACACAATTAATAGTGCGATCTAAAGGATATGTACTCAAAAACAAGTCCTGTTGAGTTCAGTGGGGCCTACTGCTGGTTGCCTTGCAATGATATAGTTGCAGGTAGGTAACTGTGTTGGTCTGCCATAGTTGAAAAAATCCCTTCCAGTAGCACCTTAGAAACCTACTAAGTTTGTTATTGGTATGAGCTTTCGTGTGCATGCACCCGAAAGCTCCTACCAATAACAAACTTAAAAGGTAAAGGTAAAGGTACCCCTGCCCGTACGGGCCAGTCTTGACAGACTCTAGGGTTGTGCGCCCATCTCACTCTAGAGGCCCGGGGGCCAGCGCTGTCCGGAGACACTTCCGGGTCACGTGGCCAGTGTGACATCGCTGCCTCTGGCAAGCCAGAGCCGCACACGGAAACGCTGTTTACCTTCCCGCTAGTAAGCGGTCCCTATTTATCTACTTGCACCCGGGAGTGCTTTCGAACTGCTAGGTTGGCAGGCGCTGGGACCGAACAACGGGAGCGCACCCCGCCGCGGGGATTCGAACAGCCCGACCTTTCGATCGGCAAGCCCTAGGCGCTGAGGCTTTTGCCCACAGCGCCACCCGCGTCCCTTATAGATAACAAACTTAGCAGATAACAAACTTAGTTGGTATCTAAGGTGCTACTGGAAGGAATTTTTTTTTTTTTTGCAATGATATGGTAAGTTCAAAATCCTGTACTGACCAATATTCCAAAGGGCCCTGAGAATGAGTCACCGCTCCCAGACCCGAGCAAATGCATTAGGTGTTGCAGCCTATGTCAAACAAATCACAGTCCCTTTGGTTTCTTTTGCTTATGGCATATCCTCTAGAAGAATCTGCACAATGCAAAGGTCTGTTTTCTCAGACATGTGTTCTTACCTCCAGCAAAAACCGTGGGCTTTCTGGCATGAACTTCAGGGCAACCAGAGACGCGATGCAGGGCAGAGAGCAGACAACCACGAAAACTCTCCAGCTGTGGAAGTGGTAGTTGGTCCCCATACTGAAGCCCCATCCTATAAGCAAGGGAAAGGGGCTACAGCGAGGGATGGAAGATGGCATTGTTTCCTTTCCACCCTGAATTTGTCCCATGCAGTCATGTTTCCGTTCTGCTGCAGTTTGTCTTCCCCCATCAACTGCATTATATGTCTTGCTGCCCGCTGTGGCCAGATTTATGTGACTTAAGTGATTTGTGAAATTAATTATGTAAATTACCTGGCCATGCTGCAATTCCACCACATTCATTTCAATGCAAGGGAAACACAATGCAAATTTGGGGCATGGGCATTATAATCAGTTGCATATCATTTGCTGATGGAAAGCAACCAACTGACAGCAAATACCAATGGGTCGATTTGCATTCTGGAATCCTGGACATGGGGGCCAATATGCAAACACCAACAATGTCCTCTTTCCCCCCCTGTTTTCATCAGAATTCTCCAATATTCCCAGATGGCAGAGCACATCTTATGTTCCAGGTAGTGAAGGTGGGATGCTGGAGGGATGCAAATTCCTGC